CCCCTCCCCCTCCTCCTCCCTGCCTCTCCCCCTTTTGCACCCACAACTAGAGTCCGTGTGGGGAACAGCCTGAATAAGCTTTACTGCTTTCCTCCCCCAATGACGGCCAGCGTAAGAGCACAATTTCCTTCAATTATTTGACCGTTTTTCCTCCGCGGATGGTGGGTTTTATGTCTACGGTGGGTGGTTGATCACAACGTTGTTGGGTAATGGGTGCCTAGGTCATTGAGTGGAGCAGCTACTGTGAGAACAACTTTTGTGAGTTGTGTTTTGTTTGTGGGCACCATTGCTGTTGTTGTCTTGTTTTAAAGAACCATACAGATTTGTTTGCTATTGTTTCTCATTTGTTCTGTTGTCATTTTATTATATAGATGTGGGGATTTTGGATGTGTTTTTGAGTGAGGAAGTGGTAGATGGTTGAATGATACGATCTTAAATGGCTGTTTTCATTTGTTTGCAGTTTGGTTTTTTTGTTCGTTTATTCTAGTTATATTGTTTTTGCTGTTTGTTGTTTTTCTTGGTGGGAGGGGTGCCATTGACATAATATTGTTCATTTACGAGTCGGGCTTCTACCCAGCCTGACAGGGCCAATCCTGTGTGAGGGGGATACAGCATCCCAACGGAAGGACCGAAATACTTGATAAAAATTCTGTCCACTAGGAAATCGAACGAAGATCTCCCGCATGCAAAGGGGAAGCACTGAACCGTTTCACAGGAGGCACCGGTGCGGTTCAGATAGGCTACAACCTATACGTTCTTACTATCTATCTATCTATCTGACCGTCTAGGCTACAACTGATGGAGTGAAGCTAAACAGGAGACCTTGTTTGGCCTAAATAATATGTGGAGCAGTCTGATGGCGTCTCTCTGTTGTTTTGCCCCGCTCAGTAAACTGAAAAAAATACTGTTGTCGACAACAATAATATACGTGAATACCAGACAAATTCAATAACCCATTTGGACAGACCCCGAGACAGTGTTATGTATGCGGAGTAGTCTGCACCTCTTAGTAGCTCTGCCCCGCTCGGCAAACTGAAAAATATACAATAACTGTCGACAAACGTAACATCCAAGAATACCAAATCAATTGAATAACCCGACCGGACAGACTCCGAGACATTGTTGTGTATACGCGGGGTACTTGTAGTCTGCGCCTTTCTGTTGCTCTGCCTCGTTCGGCAAACTGAAAAATATACAATAAAAGTCTACAAACGTAAAATAGGAGAATACCAAACCAACGAAATAACCCGAGCGGACAACCCCCCCCCCTTGCCCACGATGACGTGCCAGAGGCATGTAGGGTCACACACCTGATCTCATTGATTACGCAATGATTGATGCTTGAACGTGATCCCTACTAAATAGGGAGCGGAATGCTGCTTGCCTTCCCCCGCCCCCGCCCCCTTCCCAACCCTGCTGTCTTTTCCTCGTATTCCGGTTCTGTCCTGGTCTAATCTGGTATCTGGTATATATGAGCCGAACTTGACCGATTTGGGTCTTTCTGATGCCGGTGTTTTTGTCATGGAATAGGAAGCAACGATGGTAGTTGAGAGAGAGAGAGAGAGAGAATTGGGGCAGCAGGGAGTAATTTGGAAAGGGCCCTGTTTGTTGTTGTTGTTGTTGTTGTTATTGAAGAGGAGGAGGAGGATGTTACTGGAAATTTGGAACATATGTGGGGAAAAGTTTGTCAAAAGTTGTTGGCATCGCTGTGGCTTATTCTGCTTTTACTAATGCTTCTATTACTGATTTTTTTGTGGGGGGAGGGGGCATGATGGTAAAGGTTTTACGATATGTTTTTACGATATGTTTGGAGCTTTTTAGAAGTTTTGTTTGATTTCGTCTCACTTTTCTTCACAGAAACTTTCCGACGAGGTGGACGCGAAACGCGAGTCTGTGCAAGTCTTGAAGGGGCAAGGCTCGGAGCTCACTCCCAAACTCAGTCAGCGGGATGGTGAGCTGGTGGAGGAAACTATCAGGTAAATCATAGGTCTGTCTGTCTGTCTGTCTGCTTGTCTGTCTGTCTGTCTGTCTGTCTGTCTGTCTGTCTGTCTGT